TGTGCAATGTCTTTCATCAGTCGAAATTCTGTTTTTAAAATTGTCACCTGTAAAAACAGAATAATTTTTGTTGCTGTACTGATAAAATATGAAGCATAAATGTGTCATGTGTGGTGTATTATTAGCAGTGAGAGAGAATGGGAGAGAGTGAGTGTATGTTTTATGATGATCATTCAACCATTTCCCAGAGGATTCATGAACACACATGAAATATAGGCAAAATCAAAGAAGAATTAAAATGTCGAGACAATTAAGACTATTTTTGCCCAGAAGTGGTCAGAGCTTAAGATGTGTGCAGAAACTTTTCCTCAGATTCAGCTGCTGTTCAGTAGGTCAGTGTCCACTATATTTGTGGCCTTAGTGCTGTTCCAGTGCAACGCTTCTGAAAGTGAAGGATTGGCTCGCAGCACACTATTGCCTCAAAGACAACAGGTTTATTATAGTCTATATGTTTATGGACCATAGCCTACTAGGACCCTGGGGAAGCAGAACTGAAATGAGGGCTGGAAGATCTCAGAAAGCAAAAGCTAGAAGACTGGCAAATGTGTGGGCCTTTGGATTTTGCTGGACAACAGCTGATGTCTTCACACACTGTTGGCTCTACTGGCTAGGGGTTAATGGGAACTGCAGGCCAACAACATTGAGAGGAGCACACCGTTTTCACCCCTACCTTAACCTGTATTTTTCAGCACAAATCAAACATGCTGAATTCATAAAGAAATTTTGTTGTATACAATTACCTGTCAATTGGTAACATTTAAGGGAGGGGCAGGACATATTTTATTGCCATAGTGATAGCCATATAAAAATAGGAGTCGTCCGATACCTCAGAGATGATCATATGTATTACAGCATGAGCTTTCATGAACTATAGTCCTACTTCATCTTATATAATTGATTGGGAACTCCTTTTCCCCTTCATTTACTCCATTCCTGGTTTACAGGCTACAAGAGAGGCAGGACTCTTTATCACATGTTGGTGGTTGTGGCTGATTGATTATGGAATAGCTCTGTGGTGTTTGTAAGGTTCTTCCTTTCCTTCCTCATTAGACATGTCCTTTCCTGTGACAAATGAAACTCCTATGTTGGGTTCCTGGTAATAACATTTCAGCCATTTCTATCCAGGGAAAAATAGTAGAAAAGGACTCCAGCTAGCCTCCTGGATATTGGGACAATAGAGTGGGTCGCTGGAACAGAGAATGATTCACCTAGACCTACTTGTGGTCTCCAGGAATGGAAGCACTTAGAGATTTATCCTCAACTTTAAGCAGATGTGTTACACACTACTGATTTCACTAATAAATTCTCCATACTCTAACCCCAATCTCAGCTTCCACCAATTGCTCAGATTCCATTTCCAACAAAACCACTTTGATTACAGAACCCTTCACTTTCTATTGTCTCTATAACTGGGAATCCTGACAAAAGTAATAATTTACTCTAGGGGTTCATACACTTTCAGGTTCTTCAGGTGTTCTGGCCTTCATCTCCCACAACACCTAGATGTTAGTTCAGGCCTTCTGTCCTACAGGAGAACAGATCTAATGACTCAGTTTTCTGTTGAGGGAGCTCTTCAGGGGCCAAATTGCAATGGAGTTCCAACCAACTATCCTGATAGCTGCTGGAAAGTCTCATTATGCTATGGATGGAATATCCAGGGTTGTTTTGTTTGTTGCCTTGCAGACAACCTTATCTCTCAAGATGGAAGAAGGAAGAACAAGGTCATCTGTCCTGGACCATAGTTAGATAAGTATACGGAGAGAGAAGAGAGCAAGAGAATTAAGATGGAAGGAGGGATTGAATAGCCAAGGAGGAGTACCACAGACTAGCCTGTACCTGTAACATTGAATTCATGAAGGAAAAGGCCCAAGTTGTCTAAAAATTACCTTGAAAAGAGGAACTGGGGGGGAGCCTTCTTTAATATGTTAGGAAGCATGAGATGATCTGGGAAGGGATAGATTTTCTGCTTTGAGGATGATGGTGAAGGCAGAACTATTCAGCTTCTACTTCACCTCAGTGCTCTCTGACAGGAGGAGTT